TCTCACTAACTGCCTAAATCATTTCTTTTTAGCTCATGTATCGGTAACACCCCGAATTACTATTAGAAATCCTTTTAGGTCCTGAGAGCCAGAGACGTTAAGTCACTTGCCCAAGCTCCCACAGCCTCAAGGCTGGAACTCAAGTGAGTCTTACCTTCAGGTCCCTGCTCTCTTCTCTGCCAGGCTCTGCTTTTTGATGCAGGAAGATTGAGTTAGCCAATCGATAGAGTCCTTATTTAATTATATGTTAGGGAACCATTAGGATTCTCCTAAAAAGGAGTTTTGAATAGTCTTTGATAATGGCAATAAACCTAAGCAGAGGAAGTAAATATAGACAATGTTGAAATTCTCCCATTAGGTTTTTGTTTTTAATCTTAATTACATTTTATTATATTCAGTGGTAGGCAGTTTCAAAAGGAGGAATTGTCTTGACTCAAAACCAAAAAGATTATCAGATATCTGCTCTTCAGTAGATAGTAGGAGGTGTTTGTGTGTTGTACATGTGTTTAAACCGTATGCCAGGACGTGTAAGAGTTGCCATTTTAACGCTCAATTTTAATTCTCTGCAGAATTATGATTGCCTGATCAGGGCTGGCATGAACTGGCATGAGTTCCCAGTTCCTGGGGAATAATGCTTTCATGGAAAGAGTTAAGAAGGATGGCTCGCTGCAGGGATAAGGAAATGGGGGGAGGAGAACCCTTTAGCCACATAAGCAAAATCTGTATTTATCTGAAAAACATCTCAGGCCCTCTTCTACACAAGAGACTTATTCTCTATTGAGTTTGAAATCGCCAAGCTCAGCATGGGCGCCAGACATCCCATTGCTGTTTACTTTTCACTTGGAAAGGAAGGGTGAAAACATAACCCAAAACCAAAAATTAAAGTGAAATACTTGGAGCCTCAACTACAGATCTTTGGTGTTGCCAATTAAGTCTAGATTCACATGCTTAAAAAAAAAAAAAAAAAAAAAGCCAGCTTGGGGGAAAGACAGAATTAATATGCTGTTATGAAGTTGAGTCTCTTCCTGGCGTACATGCCACCCCAGGCCAGGCAAAGTCCTGTTCAGACAACAGCCCTTGCTGTCAGTCCGACAGGCTTTAGGCAGTAGTTCTCAGACTTAGCTACGCTTAGAATCACCCGCGAAGCTTCCAAAGTAGGGAACCACAGAGCAGCAATGCAGACGGATCGAATCAGAACTATTTGAGGTGGGATTTAGTGTCACTAGTTGTAAAACTCCCCAAGTGACTCCAATATGCTGGCTTTTGTGAATTTATTAGCACACCGGTGCTCATTGTGAAGGAAGTCAGAACAGCTCCTGCTTTCCCTACTCGGACTCATCGCTGGTGTGCCATTGGGAAGCACCATCAAAACATGCCGCTGTTTGAGCCCACTCCAGACCCACGACATCAGAGTCGCTGGGGCTTGGGGTAGGCTATGCTCTTCATCTATAAATCGCCAGGGGTTGGCTAACTGGTCCTTAACAATGGTTTTGTTTTCAAACTATAGGAGTCCATAGAGGGTCGGATGTAAACGAGGTGACAATGTAACCGAGTACTCCTTTTTTTCTAAGAGAAAGGGAATATGTTACAATCATTTTAACAGGTATTTTCTCTTTTCTCCTTTCCTCTTGTCCCTCACTTTCTACTTAGCCCTTTAGAAATGCAAATCTCACCTTTCACCCCTCCTTCACTAGACATTCTTTACAGGACAAGTTCATCTAACTACATGCTCCAAGACAGAGAGTTAAGAGCTGATTTATAGACCAAAGCATGACCTCTATGGCATTCTCACCCTCCAGGGGGTTGCCAGGGAACTCACCCTCCATGAGGGCAGGTTGAAAGCATGTCCACTCCCCTTTCCCACCTGGAGAGTTTTAGGCCACTTTTTCAACTTATTTCTACCTATAAAAGTACCAACTCAACTGCCTGATAGATGGGGCACCAGGCCAGCGTGCAGACCCCCTGCCCTTGCTCACTTCCTCCCCTGGCTTTTAAAAGTTCCCGCTTTCTGCTCCTAAAGCAAAGCAGTGCATTTACTATTTATTTATTTATTGACAGAGTCTCACTCTGTCACCCAGGCTGGAATGCAGTGGCCCGATTTCAGCTCACTGAAACCTCCAACTCCCAGGTTCAAGCAATTCTTCTGCCTCAGCCTCCCGAGTAGCTGGAATTACAGGCACCTACCACCATGCTCGGCTAATTTTTTATGTTTTTAGTAGAGACGGGGGTTTCACCATATTGGCCAGGCTAGTCTCGAACGCCTGACCTCAAGTGATCCACCCTCCTCAGCCTCCCAAAGTGTTGAGATTACAGGCGTGAGCCACTGTGCCCAGCAAAGCAGTGCATTTAAAGGCAGGAACCTGCACTTTTTCCCCAAAGGAGCTTTGGAAAAAATCACTTTTTCTTATATCCAGCCTCACTCTTGTAAATTGGATTCTGCAAGCAATGAGTGACTAATCTGTGGTCCAGTTACAATAACAATAATAGGGAAAAGAGAGTGAGAATGAATGATAAAGAAATCTACCAACATCAAATCACGTTTGATTATTTCAAACGATTAGTACCCACAATCATCAGATATAAAGGATTATAGAGAGAAACAAGGGAGGAGCTTGGGGCATTTTATGCATTATGAAAAATGCTTAGTCACAAAACATTTTCTGATTTTGTTGCAAGGTCGTTAGATCGGCACACTGCAGAGATTGGTCTGTGTACTGGAACCTTCATTCCACAACAGGCACCAAACTGTACCCCGAATGGACACTCCTCTGGGTCTTCAGAAAAGATAAGCGTGAGCTGTGCACTACCTACCCTGAGCCGCTGTGGAAATACCTCTTTTCCATAACTGGAATGGTGGTGCTGGCAGAGACAAACATTAAACAGCTGAATGTAAAAAGCTTCCTTGTGTGTCTTCTCCGTGGCCAAGGCTGGATGGAGGTTGAACACCCTTGATCGTTTTCTGATGTGGCCTCTCGGGGGCAGTATGACCCAAGGCTTGCCCTGGCTTTCTGGCTTGAAAAAGATTCACACTCTTCCTTCAATGCTTTAAAAAACTATTGACCCAGAGAAACAAAAATAAGTCCCTGAAACATGACAGAATCACGATGACGCAAACCTGATGATCAATCCACGTAGTAACAATAAGGACCCAAATAGAAGTAAGACTTGTAAAATTTCTTCTAGAAAATTAGGAAGGCAATAACTATTAGATGCATACATATTAATATAAAGATATGATGTATGTCATATGATATATATAAATATGAATTTGTATATAGAATCTTAAATATTAAAGGTTGACTTTGTTTTGGAAAAATACAAGCAAATTTTACAATGAATTTTACTTCAAAGCAAAGGAACTATTGATATGTTTTCACGTTTTTGCCTCTTCTGTTCAGCCTTATCCCTGAGGGCTGTGGAAAATCTCTATGTACTCTGATGGTAAGTAAGTGGCTCTGTTGACAAGCGACAAGCTACTGCAGTTAGAAAATTTATGACTTGTTTTCCAGTTCACATTTCTGCTTCTAGCCCCCACAGTAGTTGGTGGTAATTCTTACGCTTTCATTAGAAGTGTTAACACTTGAACAGTTATGTTTGGGTTTGGAGCTCTAGCTCTCCCCCAATAGAAAAGAAATGATTCGTAAATTTAATCATAACAATAGAAATGCCTATGCATCTTAATTTATTCAGAGCAATTTAAACTAAGGACCCCTGGAATACAAAATGTAAACAGAATCCCAGTTTATGATTTTGCACATTATTCTACCTTGCTAAGGACAGTCACCTGTACTTTGACTTTATCCACGGCTTGCAATCCCCTCTTTGATAGTGGTCTCTGGGTGAAAACAGGAGGCACCTTCACCCCAGGGATGGTGAATAAGTCAGATCCTGAAGGTCATGCGTTGAAGCTCCAAAGGGTAAAGGCATGGGCCTGGGGAGTTAATGGGGAACGGCCTCTGGAAAGGCTGGCAATACTGAAAATAGCTTTTTGTGTGTGTGCTAATATTGGAAGGCATTTAATAAGATGGAAAAAGGATCAGGAGCAGTTGACAAGGCTGCATTTATGGCAGCCATAAAAACTGACACCTTCCAACCTCCCTGCCCCAGGGCCTTCATCCTATGGGATGGATCTCCCTTCTCCATGGCCCCTTTCTTCTACTCTAACCCCAGTCCCCTCCTGCCCTTCGTTGGTTCATTCTACCTTTTAGCCTAAGAGATGAAAGACAATCCTTCAAGTCTTGGTAGGGAGAAGCCGCCCAGCCAGTCAGATCCAGCTATCTTGTCTTCTGCTCATTTCATGCGCCTCCAAATAGGACCATGGCTGGCTCTTGCGTCTGCTGCCTGTGACCTGCACTGGGAGATGAGTGTGCAGCGACTGAAAACCAGCATGTTAGAGAAGTGAACGTGACCCAGACCAGCCCCCTCCACCTGGAGCACCTGTCCGCGCTCAGGGTAAGAGGCTCATGCACATAAATCCAAATGTACCTGATTGTCATCACTGCAATTAGAGCCAAGTTGTGGGGAGGGATTAAATGAAAGAAAAGCAACCTCATTCTCACACATGATGTGCCTGTAACTCAGGGCTGTGGGTAAGTGACCAGATCATGATGTTCCATGTCTTCTTCATTTTCAAACATAGACAACTGACTGACGGCACCGATTCTCTTTTTTAAAACATGGCAATTCTTTTGTTTGAGTAGCAGAATTAAAATTTGAATTTTAAAAGTTTTCAAGTCAATTGCTCAGCGACCCTACTCTTAGAGGTGTCATATGTAAATACAAACTATTTTGGCAATTTGCTTCAGAAAAAGTGTCAATTTAAAAAATTATTTAGAAGAAAATGTAAAAATACAATTCTCTCTCTCTTTGTATACACCACACACACTCTCTCTCTCTCTCTCTCTCAGGAAGAAAACCACTGCTTATAAAATGCTTTGGCAGTTTTATGTGCTATTCTTTAAATGTACACTTGACTGAAAGAGCAAGATATAATGAATTATTTTTAGAAAGTAGTTTTTTATTAGATGCATATTTTCTTTCAAGCAATTCGTAACTTTTCATATACATGAGAATATACAAGTACTAAGATGTCAGAATGTCTTTGACTTGGCCCAGAGGCTAGGGTCCTATGCTACTCATGCACTCTCCACAACTTAAGAGCAAAAGGAAAGGCATTTCCCTTCATTGCTTTCTGCTGACGGCCACAATGCTCCCCTTTCATATTCAGAGGCTGAGAAAAGTCAGTGACACCTCTTGTTATTGTGACACCTTCATTCCCTGAGTGATTCTCACCTCTTTCTGTTTCCTCACCTTGCCTGTACTATGAAGGTCTTAGGCATCCCCCAAATTAAAAAAAAATTCAAAAATATGTGCACAATCACATGAGAAGCAACAGAAAAAAAATCTCTCTCTCCCTTTGAAATGAATCCACCCTTTAGCGTCTGGGGACGGTTTATCTGGAGAAGGCATCTGGAATGAACACCTAAAGTGCCTCCCCAACCCCCATTCAGCTTGAAATATGGAGGCTGGTAAATTGTACTTTTTGTGGCTTTTAAGGCTCAAGTCAGCTTGTTTCCAAATGAATATGTCCCTTTCCCCCTTTGCCTGTTGATGGTTAAATGCAGAAAATGGTGCGCCTGGGCAGGCAGCATCTTAGTTTTTCAGGCTTCCCTCACCTCTGTGGGATCTCTTTGCTTGATGCTTTGCTCAGCGCTATCCCTGAATGAGTAACTAAGAGTTTCATGCTTATTGAGTGTGTAGTATGTTCTAAATGCTGCCTGTGGTTGCCTCATAGAATCCTCCCAACAACCCATGAAATGACTACTAGGTAATCAATCCTCACCTAGACTTCATGTGTGATCTGAAGTATGTTCCTAGACCTCACACCTCATGTATTCATTAATCTAGTCTCCTGCTGGAGACCCCCTCATTATTTGAGCTGTGATGAGAAGGAGCTCTCTGAAGTCAGAAGCATTCAGTGAAAGACAGCCTGAAGTCTGTGTGAGACTATGTTCAAGCTCTGTAAACCAGACCTGTCCTTTTACACCAACTGCTCTTCTTCCTGACCTAACCCTCCTCCTCTTCCTTCTGTGCTTGATTTTTTTCAGAGGCTTTTCCAATCTGCTTGAAGGTTAGGGCTTCTCTCTGGCTCCTCTATCCCTCACCTCCAACCCAAATCCACCCCAGTTCTGCTGACTCTGCATCCCCTTATGCTGCACGAATACCTCCCTCCTTCCATCCTCACCCTGACCTGAGGGCTTTTGCTGGTTTCCTTGCCCTAAATGCTCACCCTTCCTGGTCCTCCTTTGGCCATAGAATAATCCTACTGCAACACCGACCAGGATGCTCTCTGCTCTGCTCATGACTTAGATGGAACAATGCTGTCAAAGTTCCTCACAATCTAGCCTTGTCCTTTCCCCTCCCCAGAGCCTTCCTAACCAGTCCTGTCTCCTTCTACAGCCAAGCTTGCCCATGCAGTACCTGCAGTGAGGCTTCTCTCTCCCCCAGCAATAGAGGATCCAACTCAAATTCCTTCTCACTGAAGAAGCTTCCCCAGCTCTCCCAGGCCCCAGGGTCCTTGCCTGGTTCTAAAAGTTGGTGAAACTTATTAACCATACCTTGGAGGGGAAATCAGACATAAAAGGTGTCATTTCTTAACTGATCATATTCATGTCTTTTCTCCCTACAGCAAGACAAAGACCTGTTTTAAACACGTTTACCACCTGTATGTTGCCTTGTACAAGGTAAAAAGTTGTACATTTCTCGATTAATTTTGGAATTTCTATTCAGGTCACTAAATTCAAGAATCAGCAATTCTCTGAGGCTTTCTTTTTATTATATGTATAAGAAATTTTTGGAGTGAAGGGAGAGTTTGTCAATAACTTGAGGCATATGGAGGGGAGATAAAAAGGTTGCTATTTTTCATCGACATATTTTGATTTGGCTTCCTAGAATTGATGGGCTTAAAACAGCTAATCTACTTTAAACAGATGCCAGATAGATTGATGAATCTTAGACCTTCTATGACGGTAACTTCCTTTTAAAAAGGACCTCTCCCACCCCACCCCCAGCCCAGGCTGTGTATCAAAACCAAGTCACGTGCACAACTCTGACTGTCACCAGCACCCTTGAGTCTGGGTCACAAGCCCACAGATATTTCCTGCTCCCCGGTGGATCGGGTGTAAACTGAGTTTGCTCGCTCGGGAGCCTCTTTCTGGAATATGGAACAGCATTTGCAGAAGCGCTTGGCAATGTGCTTTTGGAAGAAGATCACGAGGTAGTTTCTAAACTTCTCCCCAACAAAGGCATAGATGATGGGGTTGACACAGCAATGTGTCATCCCAAGAGTCTCTGTCACCTGCATGGCTTGGTCCAACCTGTTAGAGCTATTGCAATTATTCACGCCAAAGAAATCCGGGTAGGTGTTTATGAGAAGGACAATGTTGTAGGGAGCCCAGAAGAGAAAATAAACAATCATGATGGTGAAGATGAGCCTCACAGCCCTGTGCCTCTTCTTCTCATTTCGACACCGAAGCAGGGTTTTAAGGATTCCCGAGTAGCAGATGACCATGACGAGCAGCGGCAGGACCAGCCCCAAGATGACCATCTTTAATGTCTCGAAATTCTTCCAGAATCGATACTGACTGAATGGAAAATGAGGGCTACAGCTGTAATGATAACCTTCTTTTTGAGACCTGGTGAAGATGATTCCTGGGAGAGAGGCAAATACAGCCACCACCCAAGTGATCACACTTGTCACCACCCCAAACGTGACCGTCCTGGCTTTTAAAGCAAACACAGCATGGACGATAGCCAGGTACCTATCGATTGTCAGGAGGATGATGAAGAAGATTCCAGAGAAGAAGCCTATAAAATAGAGTGCTGTCAAGAATTGACACATTGTATTTCCAAAGTCCCACTGGCCTGCAGCATAGTGAGCCCAGAAGGGGATGGTAAAAAGGAAAAGCAGGTCAGAGATGGCCAAGTTGAGCAGGTAGATGTCAGTCATGCTCTTCAGCCTTTTGCAGTTTATCAGAATGAGGACGACCAGCATGTTACCCACAAAGCCAAAGAGGAACACCAGCGAGTAGAGTGGAGGCAGGAGCTGGGCTCCCATTTGCTTCACGTCGATTTTTCGGCAGGGCTCCGATGGACCATAATCGATGTCATAGATTGGACTTGACACTTGGTAATCCATCTTGTTCCACCCTGTGAATAAATAGAAAGTGATCTTTTACGAAGTCCTAGAATGTATTTTGTGGCCCACCATGAATACAAACTGTTTTATACATTAATAGTTTTTAATCATGTACATAGATGTCTACATTGCATGAACTTCGTTTTTGGCCAAACAATGAAGTTTTGTAGTGAAGGGAAGGTTTGCAACTAGCTTCTCCACTCAATAGATGGAGAGCTTGGCCTTGTTGGGGTAATTCATGAAAGTACCACTTCACCAAATAAAGTCTTGTGTTCTGTAGCACCATGGAGCAAACGAAGTTTTGATAACAATTTTAGGAAACTGGGTCAAAGAAGATACAACTCAGCCTTTTTGTTGTTTTTCACACAGGGTCTCACTCTCTCCCCCAGGCTGGAGTGCAGTGGCACGATCAGGGCTCACTGCAGCTTCAACCTCCTGGGCTTAAGTGATCCTCTCACCTCACTTTTCCAAGTAGCTGGGGACTGCAGGCGCCACCATGCCCAGCTAATTTTGTTTATTTCTGTAGAGACGAGGTCACACTATGTTGCCCAAGCTGGGCTCAAGCAGTCCTCCTGCCTCAGGCTCCCAGAATGCTGGGATTACAGGCATGAGCCTCTATGCCCGGCTGCAGCCTAGTCTTACAGTCTATATTGACGCTGCCATTCTCTGGCGTTTGCCCACAAAAAGCATGCACTATGAGCAAGCCAGTCATAATTAAGAGGCCTCGAGGGCACATAGAGGCCTCGAGGGCTAATCACTATTCTAAGCGTCATACCCATTCATTCATTTAATCCTCAGGGCAACCTTATGAGGCAGAAAATAAAATTTCACATTTTGCAGACAAGGACCTTGAAGCACAGAGAGGGTAACTTGCTCAAAGCCACACAGCTGGGATCCAACTGATTTTAAATGCAGGCAACCTGCAATCTTAACCACCAGGCTACCCTGCTTAATTTAAAAGAGAATTAAAGAGCAAGACCATCAGATGGCTGGTACTGTGAGGTAGTCAGAGTGAAATGGACGGATGCCCAAGTCCCCACACCCCCGCCCCCCCAGCCCAGAGAAGGTCATAGAGGCCAACAGCCAATTGTAAAATCCTCACATTTTCTCTACAGTTTGTGTTTGTAGTTTCTGAGTTGCCACAATTAAGAGTTCTCATACAAACCCAAGAAATAATAAAGTAAAAAATGTTTCATCTGCCACCACAGATGAATGTCATATATTCTGGGTAGTTTAGTCTTACAACCAGCTGGCTTGCCTCACTATTTAAATTCAGCTGCTCCAGCTGAGAATTTTCTCTTATTAAACCCTGTGAGTCTCGAACTCTCTGTATCTTAGATTAGGCAGCTGAGAGAAGCCTCAGAAAAGCTCACCTTTAATTTTGAGCCATAAATAATTATATGCTAACTGTGCCATGAAACTGATATATTAGAGGAACATTTTATTTGACGTTTGTAATTTGATATTAATTTGGACCATTTTTAGGCTTCCCTCTTTTCTGGAGGAAAAAGAAAAAAGAGAACCAGAGACACAACTTCTTGTGGGCACGTATTCAGACGGCGTCTCGATGGAGAGACTTTAGTTCTCCTTAGCAGAAAAGATTTCAAGATTTCAGCCAAGATTCATCTCGCTGAAAATCTTTCTTTTGAGAGGTAAGAATTGTTAGTTTGCTTTTAAAATACTATTCCTCCCTTTAAAGTCTTTCACTTGTAATCACGATTTGTATCTTTGACGTTATAATAATCTGAAACTCATTCTAAACTCTGACCCTTTCCTTGTCTTAAAGATTATATTTTAAGATAATTCTATGAGCACTTGGTGGTTGCCAAATGTCTTCTCTGGGTTTCCTGTAAAGGCTTTTACTCATCTCGGAAGCTAACTAATAAGCCAAGCAGCTGAGAGGTTACTTACCTGGGAGACTTTCTTGTAGGGGAACGGATGTTTCAGCTCTTCTGGCCAGATGAGCTGTGCAAATCAAACATATAGACGGTATAAAAGTAGGAAATGCAGCTGCTTTTGAGGGGGGCGGAGTTAAATAATTAAGTGTATTGAAGGAGGAAAGAATCGGAGAACAGTTCTTCTTTTTAAGTTGAGCTTAAAATAAGATGCAGAAGAGATCTGGTCTGAAGGTTTATTCATGAGCTTTCTTCACTGGATTATTTTGTTTTTGTTCTCTGCTCATCCAACTACACAGAAGCTGTTAGAACACATAAAGAATAAAGGATATTAGAGCTAGAAGAACATTTACATTCATCTAGTCGAAAGCCCACATCTTAGTAAAAGAAATTACTATCCAAGAGGCAAATGATTTGTCCAAGATCACAGGGCTTTTCAGCAGTAAGGCTAAAAGGGTGAGAAAATTCTGATTATCTTAAGAGTTGCCGTCTATTAAAGCCAACTTAAGCCAACTTTAAATGTAGAGGAAGATCCTGGACTTCACATTAACCCTGTGCCCCCTTTTTCTCCCCTCTTCCCACATCCCCTATCCCACCCCAACTCACATGTGCTCACCACCCAATATTATTGTTCTCTGTAAACTAAAACAACCAATTGTCCGAAGAGTTTTAACCATAGGCTCACTGATGAGCTGAACAGGTTTCCCATCTTTTTCTGAATCCAGGATCTTAGTGGGGATTTTCACTCTGTTCACTGTTTTGTGGCCCTTCAACCCAGGAAGCATTTATGAGGACTTACACTGTGCCAGATACATAGGTGGCAGGATTCTTCACTCCAGATTCAATCTATCCAGAGCTATAAGAAATTTTCCGCATGACAGAAGTATATGGTTGAGTTCAGGATTCTTTATGACAATACCATATACAGTCATGTCAAGCTCTCTTGGTGGTTGGTGACATCTGAAAATCTCAAGTATTGTCGGCAGAGCTGAGAAGACAGCAGAGAGCCACTCCTGAGCCACAAGATGCCCTTCTGGGCTTCCGTGACCTCGGCTCTAGAATAAAAAGCATTGGCTTGTAATCTCTAAGAAGGCGAAGGAGACCCCAAACAGCAAAATTACATGCTCCCAAAGCTACGGAGGCAGCCTAACCCAGGGACTGAGCCAGTGGCCTTTGTAGTCAGACTGCCAGGCTGGAAGCCTGTCTCTTCCCTCAGCTTTCTCATCTGGGTATTGGGCTGAATGACAGTAGTCATTTCAAGGGTTGTTGGGAGGAGTCTATGAGGCATCCCCAGCCAGCATCTAGCACATACTATGCACTCAGTAAACATCAAACTCTTTGTTACTTTTTCAGCAATTCTTTCTAAGACAGAGTTTATTTGATTAAATTCTAACAAAATTGTTTCACTGGAGTTTCTGTCTACATCAGATTAGTTTCAGCAAACTAGAAGCTGAAGAGGTGAAGCTAATCACTGGTGCTTGGAGGATAGAAAGAAATGACTGCTTGGGAAAAGCCAGAAAAGTACAGAAATAGCCCAGCGATCAGGACACCCCACCCCCGCCCCACATAGGGGCACATGTCTGTGTTACAACAGAGCTCAGAAACTGGTAATTGTAACAAGGACAGTGAGTCATCAAGAAAATGTTCGCCCATGTGTGCAGTTCAAAAGGCAATGATTAAGAACTGTAGGCATGCTGCTGGGTTTGACCTCCAGCTTCATTACTACTGCTTGGCTCTGACCAAAATATTGACTCTCTCTGCCTAGTTTTCTTAACTATAAAGTGGAGGTTTTAGAAAAAACAAATACAAACTTACTCCATACACCTGTGGTGGCGACGCAATGATAACAAGAGTAGAGCCTTTCAGGCACCTGCCCTTGGGGGGCTGTGTAAGCAGGGAAATATAAAGTGTGCTTTAGGAAGAGTTAAAAAATAGAGAACAAATTCATACAAAATTTTAGAGAAAATAGATAACATAAATACAACTTTGGTTTTTTAGAAAGATAGCCTTGTATTCACTGGTAATTCACTTGTGTAGAACTCTCGGAGGCTGTCGGACCAACACTGTATTTCTGCTTGTGGTAATTGCTGGTTTTTACTTTCATCATGCAGAGCTGAGGCTTTGCCATGTTCTGTGTGTCTGTCATTAGGGTGACAGAGGAAGTGAAGACACGCTCGCCCCCAGAGGGCAATGTGGGCTAGAGGAGCAGGCTCGGAGTCACACAGACTATGCTGCTGACTTGCTGTGTGATCCTGGCAAAATACTTCCACTCCCTGAGCTTCCACTTCCTCTTCTGTTAAATGATGTGCTAGGCCTGGGCGGCTTCCACCCTAAATACTATGTGACTCCATGGCCAAGTTGGTTTGAAAAATACCCACGAGACTGGAAGCAAGGTGAGGCTTCACAGGCTGAAACAAGGAAGCACAGCTCGGCAGGGTGTGTCACTCCACTTTTGTGTTTGTGGTCCAGAGGTGTATTCTAGGCACCACTCAGGACAGGGGTTCAGCCCAAGGATTCACAAGAAAGTGGAGACCAGTGGGAAGTTCTTCAGCATTTAAATGAAGTGTTGTTCTGGTTGCAATAACGACAACGAGCTAGCAGTCTACCAGGCTGTGACTCAGCTGCCTGGTGTCTGCTGCTCTTTCTACTTTGTCCCTCTCAGTCTGCATGGCTCTTGTTCTCTTAGGGATTGTTAAACATATTTGGACTCCCCGTGGGAAACAAACTTTCGATCAGTTTGTCACTCTAGACTCCATGCCCATACTGGAGGGTGTTTTGTGCCAGCCCTCCTTTTTGGGGCCTTTTTGTCTTTAAATAGCTGCTCCATGTCTAGTCACTGCACCTGTGTTCCAAGCATTGCTTTGCTCACTTCTTGCCCACACCATTCCTGGACCATATTTTCAGAGCACCGTCAACAGGATGGAGAGAATGTTAATTATTCACTTTGCGTGCAAGGGCCAACTACCTGAGCACAGTGAGCAGGAACCCTGCCATACAGCAGCTGTTGTGAAAATCCCTGGGGCCTCAGTTGACTCTTGGTCAGTATCAGTCGACAGTGAGATGGGCTGTAAAAAGGACAAATGAATCTTTTATTTTTAAAAACAAATGTCTAGGCCAGGCGCGGTGGCACATGCCTGTAATCGCAGCACTTTGGGAAGCCAAGGCAGGTGGATAATTCGAGGTTGGAAGTTTGAGAACAGCCTGGCCAACATGGTGAAACCCTGTCTCTACTAAAAATACAAAAAATTAGTGGGGTGTGGTGGCATGCGCCTGTAGTCCCAACTACTCAGGAGGCTGAGGTGGGAGAATCTCTTGAACCCAGGAGGTAGAGGTTGCAGTGAGCCAAGATCGCACCATTGTACTCCAGCTTGGGCGACAGTGAGACTCTGTCTCAAAACAAAACAAAACAAACAAACAAAATATCCAATTATAAAACCAACACATGCTCATTGTATAAAACTGGAAAAAACAGAAAAAAGGAAAAAATGAGATAAAGTCTCACAATATCAAAACAATGTCTTTTAAAACGTGATGTTTCAATCCTGACTTTTCCCAGGCACTTTTTGATTAATTGTTCCTACACATATACCATTCTGTAGGTGGCTCCTTTTTCTGGGCAAAGATTATAGTGTAGACATTTTCCTATATTATTAAAAAATTCTTTATAAGTATAGTTCTTTATTATTTTTATTGAGGAGGAGCACACTGATCTTAGTGGTACAGCTTGGCGAGTTTTGATATGCATACATGCATGTAACTACCACTCCTGATCAAGACGATAAGAAATATCCCTATCATTTCGGAAGGTACCTTTTGCTCCATGCAGAGGTAAGGGCCACTCTGACTTCATAGAGATTAAATGATCCTGTCTTTAACTTCTATAAATGGAATTGCAGATACTGTCCTTTTTCCTGTTTGACTTCATTCATTCAACAAAATACCCTTAACTATATTTAACAGAGTTCTGTCATTAGACAGTTGGGCTCTTCCCATTATTCAGTCATATGAGCAGAGTCGCACTGATTGTCACCGTCAGTGCTCTAAGATCCCTGTCAAGAAGGATGTTCTTCCTATCCCCAGATCCGTCTTTACCAGGAGAGCCAGGGAGTCCCCATGATCTTCACAGAAATAGGAGGAATCCACCCCCGTCCAGTGCCATACTTTGTTACCTACGTGCCTCAGCAATGACGCTTGGGTCCTGTGATTCCCACCAGCAGACAGTCTCCACCTTCTGCCTCAGACACCTATTATGATGGGTGGGTTGGGAACTCACCATGCTGTTGTCTCCATCCCTGTTTCTGTCCTCTAGGCCTTTCCCAGGGTAACTTACTTCCAAGCCAATGGACCACATCCCCCATGGGGATTTGTACAATTCATGAAACCAAGTGGACACGTGTAGGCTGTCTACCTCATGGCTTCATTAGATACGTTCAAACCTGGTGGGAGCCACTTAGCTCAGCAGCGCAGTCTTCTCTATGCATTTAGGGGATTTCTTTCAGATCAATGCCTAGGCATGAGGCTAGTGCAATGTAGGTGTAGTAACAGATGTCTAAGCTAACAGTTAAACAATACAATAGACCCACTGTGATCTTAAGTGAGTCAGATCACACCTGGAGCTCTGTACTCAGCTCTCCGCATAACATGAGATTATGTAGGACTTTTCTGGTTGTCCCAGAACTAGCAACTGTGGCCTAAAGCTGAAGGCAAAGAAGTGTTGTGTGCTCATAGTTCCAAGGAAAAGCACTGACATCTGGGCTCAGACACCTCTCCCAGGGCTTAGTAGGAGGTGACAGCACCAGCACTGTAACCTCACCCATCACGTCAACTCCTCTCAGCCCGGTCTGTATATGGAGGCAATTGGGGTGAAGAATGTACTGTAGAAGTGGGCAGGATTGATGGGGAGGGGAGTGAGGATTTCTCTCCTCAAAGCCAAGGAAAGGGGCTCTGAAGAAGCCATATGAGGAATAAGGACTTGCAAAAGGAGAGGCCAGTATGGGTGGGGACCCCACCGGGCAGCAGACAAGCTGAGCAGGGGGAGTGGGGATTGGAGAGAGGTGATGGAGGTAGAGATAGGGTGTAGAAGTGAGGCTGCAGAGATCAAGAGTGCCCCGGGTCGGCCGGAAGCAGTGGCTCATGCCCGTAAT